CAGCATTCCTCAGAGCTACAGAATGATATAGCGTTCAAAACCTCCTAAAGTACAAAACCGCCTCTAATTTTTGATCAATCAGCGGTTTGCGTCGGATTTCGCCGTCTGACAATGAGATCGTCGATTTGCCATAGCCCCTGGAGAAATTGCAAAAAAAGGCTCGAACGAACCTTATCAATGAAAGTCCCTGTCGTGATGGAATTAAAGACAAGCTGCACGATAAGTTCCTGAACGTGGATTGATACGCCTAGCAGGACGGATTTCGGAGCCCCTAGGCAGGTGCTTAGTGGTGCCCTTACCACAGGAAGGTACCCTAATAGCGCCCAGTCAATCTGCAACATTCCGACTCAGACGCCCGCCCGCCCACAAGTGTCCGAGCAATGCTCATGCTCTAGTTGTAAAGCGAATGATATGAAGCGGCTGCGGCTGCTGCATCGATATATGAGTACATAGATGCAGCTGCATCTGCCGTTGGCACGAAGCCAGCGGTTAACTCCTCTGAATTTGCTTTCCAAATCATGTAGAATAGAGGCTTTTTTGCCGGTTTCAGCCGTTTTAACTTCTTTTTTCCTGCTATGTAGCACCGTGCTATCATTTGACCGAGTACCAAGCTATTGTGGCTTATGCCTTTACCAGTATATGGAACTTCCACTTTTTTCAGTTTTTGGTCTCACTCTCGAAGCAGTTAAAGATTGAGTCTTGAGCCATCTGAGCTGCTTCACTACATGTTTCCCGAGTTTTGCTCACTAGAAGGTATGCAATGTGTTTGAGTTCTCCTCTTAAAACCACCCACTCGCGTCTATCTTTCACGCTCTCTTGCTTGTTGCCTGGGCTCGTGGTCCTTTTTCCTTTCTTCTGGTGTCCTACTTTTTCTTTATCACATATCCTTAAATGAGGGAGACACTCTGAGATACTTACCGTTTCCTAGCGCTGCAATCCAGTGGCCCTTTGATGGCAGTACTACTTTCACGAGCTTAGGTCGACCAGTATCAGCTTACCTAATCGATAAACCTTCACTGGTCAACATTCGACCTTAAGAGCAACCAGTAAATCACATCCCTTACCTTCAAGCTCCAGTTATTTCTCGGACGTTGCTTGTGCGATGACGCCTTTTCTAGACTACTCACAGCTAAGCTACGAGGTTCTTCGGCCTCAAAACAGCACGACATCTCAGTGGGAATCTCAACCGCTAAGGTAACTAACATCTTGCCAATGACCGGGTCTGAATTCTTAGAAATACTTGCACTGAGGAGTTCGCCTGCGCTGAATTTACAATATTCCTCATCCGATGACGGAATGGATAATCCTTCCTCAGGGTCCACTCCTAGCGTTCCAGGTGATCTTTCAAAATTTTCTGAGGGTCTCCCTCCTACGCGATCGCTCTTGCTTAGGAGGCATGGTCAGATATGTGCGATTGAATCAACTGATCAAGTGACTGAGAAGGAAGGTTAGGCACTATTAGTCGGACTCACCTAGAAAAGGCTGAAGTGCAAAGGATATACCCACAGCAGCTATTTTATCCGGTCAATTAGATGTATCGGAAAGGATTTGCAGTCTGAATAGTTAACGAGGTAAACAGAAATACTTAAAATGAGGTAAAAAGATTGCCTGGCAGAGAATCATGGCAACGCAGCCGTACGCCCTGAGTAACAGGTAAGATTAGGATGTTCGTGCCAACGTTATTTTTCAGCTGAACGCCGCAAAAAATGAGATGTGATCCAGAAACTGTACAGAAGTCGCAGGATGTTGGTCTGCCAGTGAACTCAAGTCGAGTGAACTTGGACAATGAGGCTACATAATGTCAAGGTGATGTGTTTTCGTCGCTTCATACTTGGTTACTACGAGTACTGTATTCAGTATTGTTGAAAACAGTCAAAACAGTTCCCTAGTAATTCTTAACATTTGCACATCTAATGACAAGTATAAATCTGAGTATAAGTCAGTAGATATCAGGAAAGCCAAAATCGAGAATGATGTTGTGCTCGATAGCCCTTCGAACAGTGGCGCCTTTCTAAGCAAGATGCTGATTGCTAAGTAACCCTCTTTAGCCAGTTTCATTGTTCTCGATAAGAATTCTTTCTTTGGGAGACTTTTCTCTTATTATGATGTCAAGTGTATCTATCGCATACTTTAGTAATGAGCGTTTTGCAGTACTTGGTAGCCACACTGAGGTCGTCCAAACTAGAATTTCTTGCTTCCTGGAGAAATCACATTGATTGTGCGACGTCATAATTTTTCCATCGACCTTATGCAAAAGCCCCATTTTCTCAGTTTATCCCTCGCATAAATGCTTTTGTGTGGTGGTGCGTTGTCCTGCACAAGGTAACAAAATCTTGGGGTGAAGTGCTTTATAGTTAATAGACAACATTGACCACAACAGCGAATAAACCATCAATAATTCCTGCATTGGAGAGGAAGGTAACATCCTTCTAAGTTTCTCAATTGTGTTCGCTATCGTTTCGTTGAATTCTTGGTAAAATAGAAAAATGGACGGTACCTTGGACCGAGATACCACCCCAAGTGTGTCTCTTTGCAACATGCTTGGCCTTGTTGCGCTTACCTGCATGTTGGTCAGCTTGCTTCACGTAACAAAACCTGATTGAGCAGGCAACGGAAATTTGAACTGAAGCCAGTTCTGTACTTCTGTGAACTATTTCACAGATTACGCGATTACGAAATAGTGCATCACTGTGCAGAATATTTCGCGATCGTGCTTCTTCTTGGGTTAAAAACTTCCCGGTGAAAACAAAGCATCGTTCCATCGCGATTCTCCACTCTTGCAACCGCTCCGTCTCTCGAGCATTCCTTGAAGATATCCTCCTCAATCTCTGTTGTGGTGAACTTTCCATACCGGGTGTCCATGCGGGTTTCAATGTATTTATGAATACCCTTTCATGAAGTTTGAGGCACACCAAGTGTCTATCAAAGTTAATACGGGCACAATAGAAATCATCTGGTGTGTCCTTCTTTCGACCTTATCGCTTAGAACATTAATACTCATGCGTGAAAGCGCACGCAAGGGTCAGACTGGAATCCCTGACCGCTTGAATTCTATCAGCATTTCATCACGAGTGTTAATATGAATTAATAAAAATACACACCTCAGTCTGGTCATGTAGATGTTTTTTCTCGTTACCTCTACCCACGTAAACGTCGTAGAACTTGTATTTCCACGAAACATGAACGAAATCTTTGAGTTGATCCTGGAGTTCCACATCTCAATATTTCATGCAGTTCGATATGACTTACCTCTCCTTCTCCAAAGAATTTCGATGATGTTGTTGGCGGAGATGTCGCTTTGGCGGACGATGGCGACGACGAAAGAAACTGTCGAACAAAAAGCGCAAAAAGCGGGGCATGGCTGCATTAGGGGTTGCAGAGGCTCGCTTGTCTATATCACCCGGGAGCCGCAGTGCACTTGTCGCTAAAAATAAACACGAAGATTGAGACTGCGATGTACCCTGTTATTTGAATGTTGCTCTGGAGGAGAAAAAACAAAGGGTTTATCTGGTTTGAGCCTGGACAAAAATACTGTCTCCTTTTCACTGTCTCCCTTATCGCTCATCTGCAGCGAGCCCGGAATAGGACTTTTGGAACATGAAAGTACTATGACTGCTGAAACATAAGTTACAGTTCGAACAACTATTAGGTTGTCCGGAAAGTTCTCAGCGTTTTGGGTGTTTCACTTTAAACGATCGTAACTTTTTTAATACTCATCGGATTTAATCGAAATAGGCACCATTCGAATCAGCACACTTTTTGCCAATGTGAAGCAGTTCGAGAAATCCCAAAAATTCAAAATTTAAAAAAACGCGCAGTGGTCGGAAATTCACGAAATCCACTAAGGCTTTTTTGCCTGGTCCTGATTGATGAGTATTTCCCAAGTTCTGAAAATGTTTGGAAAGGTGATATTCGGTTGGAGAAAGGGTCTGGAGAACTGAAGAATTATGGCGGTTGAGGTAGAACTTCAACCCCAATTCGTTCAATTTATGGATAGTGATTTGTGAAACGTGTGGGCGGGCGTTGTCATGCAAAAGAATCGGACCCTTTCTGTTGACAAGTGCTGGCTGCAGCTGACGCAATTTTCGGTACATTTCGTCGATTTCTTCACAGTAGGGTTCTGCTGTGATGGTTTGGCCTGGTGATAAAAAGTTATAGTGGATCAACCAGCCGATATGACCACAGCCGCTGGACCGAGAGATCTTTTCTTCGTGTGATTCGGTTCTTGCGATATTGCTGGTCTACGGCATCCAACCACTGTCTGGAACGTCTTCTGTTATCATACATGACCCATTTTTCATCACAGGTGACAATTCGGCCCAAAAACAGGTCGTTTCTGCTGCGCAAAAGCAATGCAGAAGGAACCTCGAGACGTGCCGATTCTTGTTCCGGTGCACTCCGAGTTGTGCCGGGCACTCTTCTTGTTCGAGTTATGTTCACCCTTCCAATGCGTTCCAGACCATCTGCAACAGTGGATTTGCCAAGGCCTAGCTCTTCTGCTATCTCTCGAACTGTTTGGGATGGGTCAGCCTCCAAAATCCCCCTAAAATCCTCGTCAGATATTGCTTTAGGTCGACCGCTATGAGGTTCATCTTCAAGGCTGAAATCTCCAGAACGAAATTTGTTGAGCCATTGCCGCACAGTGCTTTCTCTAGCACTATTGGGCCCCCACACCTGGTTAATTTGTTGAGCTGTTTCGATTGCGGATTGCCCCAATTTATAGTCGAAGAAAAAAAATCGTCCGAAGTGCTCTTTTCACATGCTTGAAAAAATCTTGAAAAAAGAGGTTATCAAGCAATGGTGAAACGGCCAATTAT